TATATATATCGTGTGGTTTCTAATTATTTGTTTTTGAACAATTTATAAAATTGCATACATATTAAAACTATAACTTGCAATTTTTATGTGTAAATGTAGATTATTTATTCAGTTTTACTATTGTTTACGTCTTTTCAAAAAACCGAGAAGCAATCCAAGTTCCCCTTGGATGAAATTCTGGATTAGCCTAATGCATTATTAAAAATAAACAAACTGATTACCATGACCCTACTTTCCAAAATAAGTAATCAAATCTTATAGTGAACTACTCCCAATTAATCCAAATAAAATAGTTCACTTTAAACATAAAAGCAAGTAAGTAACACATGACAAATTATTAGAAAAATAGAAGCATGCCAACCCCGAATATGACTTGTTTTTTTTTAAAGGGGCCGAAGTTGTAAATAAGCAAGATAAACTAATATCATTCATATTATAAATATCATAAGAGTCTACAACCTCATCTAATGGGTTTATAAGCTATTCATACTAGAAACAAAAAATACAAGGTAAAATATGTTGCGAAAATATCGTGGGTTATTAACTACCACAGAATCACAAGCAAATATAATAGAAAAGAAAAAAAACAGAAGAATTTGATGAGGTTAGGCTAGACTAATCCTCCAAGCAAAAGTAGAGAGAGTTTTTCACCATGAACAAAAAAAGAAGGGTACAATCCTTTAGAATCTCCAACTACATCCCCTATATATAGATCTCAAGTAGTTATATTCCTTTTCCAAATCAATTAGAACAAAGAGTGTTCTAAATCATCAGGGATTATGAATTTTCATGGAAAAAATCAAGACATAATTTTAAAAAATGTAATAACAAACACATTTAAAGATTAAACAAAGAAGAAGATGCAAACTTGTTGAGTCCAACTGACCACGCAAGTGTACGCAATCGCACAAATAGTATAGAACTTTTAGTCCATATATCATACCCACAAAGACTTGTCAATCAACCATTTATGTAATTAAACTAATTAATGTGCTGCCCCAAGTGCCAAACTTCAGAAACACAAAACTCGACCAGGCTAGCGCACTACTTGGCTCGTTGCGTGCCCTATCAAGGACACTACGTGGCGTGCTGCATCAGGTCTTTTTTGAGTGAAAATTATTTCAAAGTCAAGTCCAAGAGAATTAGCCTCTGCAAGTGACACTTAAACTTGAATAAAATTGAACAAATAATACATGTGTCCTATGTGGAGTCCCTACACATGCATCATATTTGCTAATTAATTTGACAAATTTGATTTAACGATTGCTGAATATAACAATGTCATTATCAACATAGCTTAAATTGTTACTCTGAGGCACCTTAGTTGTTTATGAAAAAGGAAACGAACTTCTCATTAGCTATAAGGTTGTACAAGGATCTGTAAAGAAATTCAACATTAATGTTAGCCAATAATTACAACATTAACACAAATGGCTCTTAGAAATGGTTGATTTGTTTTCAAAAGAAAAATCAGAAAATTACATCCAATGACAGGAATCAGAGAGACTTACAATTTACAAATAACTAATACATTCTCAAAGTGGATAATACAAATAGATTATTGATTTATTTCAAAAAGAAAATTACATCCAATGAGAGAGAGACTCACAAACAAACAACCCTACAAACAATTACATCCAATGGGAGAAACCAAAAAGATTCACAAACAAAGAAAGAATTATAAATACTAATAGTTACGAATATGCAGATACGGAATGTGAGCAATTTTGTGCCAGTCTTCTCCTATTCCCTTCTCACACCGCTTGAACACTATTGGACATTCAGTAATTGTTAAAGTTGTGAGGGCTGTTAGGTGCTGCAATCCCTCCGGTAAACATTTTAGAATCTTGCAGTAGTGGAGAGATAACTGTGTAAGTGAAGTTAAACCTTTCACCCCTTCCTCGGGGAGACTCTCTAGTGTGTCACAATAATAAATATCCAGACGCTTCAAAGCATTGAGACTAGCCAGGCTGCTAGGCAGCTCTTTAAGATTGTAGAACACAGAGATTTCCAAGTATGTGAGATTTGCAAGGCTTTTGAACATCTCTTCTGGGAGTGAAGTAGCTTCATAGTTACCGCTAATGTTGAGGGAAGTAAGAGCACTAAGATTAGATGTGGACCTCAAACTTGAGGCATCTGACATACAAACTTTCAATGAAGGGAGGGTCGGAATAACAAACATAGGGCAATAGAGAATTATCATCTCTTCAAGCACAAAGAATTGCTCTTCTCCTTCCTTTTTTAGCAATCCTTTTAGATTACTAAAGTTCACTATAACAAGTGTCCTCAAGGATGGAAACCTCCCAGAATCAACATCAACATCAACATACTCCACATCCACAGACCCCCAGCATAACCTTAGACTTTCTAGACAAGGCAGCTCACCAAAGGGTGGTAAGCATGAGCAGTTTGCGCAACTGCTGATTTCAATAGAGACAACATTTTTCAAAACTGAGTGATTCATCCAATATGGGAGACGGATTCCTTTGAAGCCATTGATTTTTAAAGAAGTCAGATTGGAGTGTGGTTTGAGGGCTTCAAGCACTTCAACTTCTTCTGATTCATATCTACGTGGTTCAAGCCAATCCCAATCTATGATTAAAGATCGCAGATTCTCTTTTGCAGATAAATTGGCTTCTTTTGCATCCTTATCATTCTTCACTCTCTCAAGATGGCTGATTTCAATTGAGCCATACAGATTCAGGTTTCCTAGTTCCCCAAGTTGACCGCCTTTCTTCCATCCCACAACAAAGCGACTTAGAGTCTTAAGGCATGTCAAAGATCCTATCCTTGGTGGCATACAATCCAATGGACAGCCATCAAGTAAAAGATTTCGGAGACTAACAAGTTTACTTGTTTCTTTTGGCAAACAACAAAGTGAGATGCAATACTGTAGATCAAGAGTCTGCAGATTTTGAAGCTTGCATAACTGCTTTGGAAGACTACACATTTCTCTATTGTAAGAGAGGTCCATGTATCTTAAATGTACTAGATCTCCAATGGAAGACGGTAACTGATTGAGTTCTAAGTAACGCAGATTAAGAACCCTCAACGAGACAAAGTTCTCCACCAGCAAATGAGAGTAGGAAGACTCCACTGCAGCAAAACCAATAGACTTTATATCTGAGTATTTTTTTACATTTATTTCACGGATATTGCTGTTTGATGCTCTTGCTGAAAACAGAGATGTAGCCAAATCATGGATGAGATCATGCATCTTGAAATAAGTTTTACCATCTTTAACTTCAATCTCTTGGAAGAAAGACCTAAAATATAATTCATTCCATACTTCATTACCCACATCCTCTAGCTCCAAGTTTCCTTTCGATGAAAGAAAACCGTGTGCCATCCAAAGAGAGATTAGATTTTCCTTTTCCATTTTGGTGTCCTTTGGGAACACCGCACAATATGCAAAGCATTGTCTCAAATCAAGTGGAAGATGATGATAACTCAGTCTCAGGGCAGGCAGAATAGAACTTTCATCTTGAGGCAAATTCCAAATCTCGCTATCTCTCACATGTTTCCATACTCTTTCTTCTCTCTTGAAGTGCAAAATACTTCCGAGAGTCTTGGCTGCTAGAGGGACACCACCACATTTTTTCACAATCTCCTTTCCGATAGCCTCAAGGTTAGGATTTATTTCTTCTAGGTGCTCAAATGCACGTTGGTTGAACAACGACAAACAATCTTCTTGAGACAGATTTGACAATTCATATGGGTGCAAAGTTTGCATAATTGAACAAACCTTTTGAAGACGAGTAGTGGTTAGAATAGAAGCACCAGTTGCTCCAACCTTCAAGACAGCTCTTAAATTATCCCACTTCTGTTGATCTTCATTCCAAACATCATCTAAGACAAGCAAGTATCTTTCTCTATTCAGCAACTTCTGAAGCTTCTTTTGAAGTGGATCCAAGTCCATATCACTGAGTGACTTTCCTTCAATAGATTCTACGATTGCCTTTATCAACCTCTTCTCATCAAAATCATCCGAGACACAAATCCATATTTTGGGATGGAAATGCTCAGTAACTCTCGGATCATTGAAGACCACTTGGGCAAGAGTGGTCTTTCCTAGTCCCCCCAAACCAAGTATTGGGAGGACTGAAAGTTGTTGGGCATTGTTTATCAAGATTTTCACTATCTCATCTTCCTCTTTGCCCCTCCCATAAACTTGTTTTTCAGTTAATACAGAACCTGGTACAAGTAATGTTCACATGAGAATATTGTTACAAAATTCAAGCTCTGTAGCAAAAACCAGAGAAGATTTTTGCACAATAAAGAGATAAAGAGTAGCATTTTACCCTACATTAATTCCAAATATTATAAAATATTTAACTAATTAAATATTAAATAATAATCATATTACTATATTATTAATATTATGATAAATAATACAGGTGACAAGGTGTAAAATAAATAACTAAAAGATGAAAAAATCCATAAAAGTATGTGCATTTATTTGGTACATGAAAACATGTATCTAAATACTTAACTAAACCTTTTCCCCTTCTCTAAATTAATTTGAATAACTTAATTAATGTAGTAGTATTTAACTTAATGAAAATTTATGTGCATTTTATATTATAAAGTTCATAAAAGTAATTATTACTTTCATGTATAGGAAAAGCCAATGAATTGTATTTGAAATCTTATTATTATGATGTAGTTATTGTTTGTTCACTATGAATAATAGGAAAAATTGTATGAAATAGCAAATTTTTAATTCAAATTAAATGTTGTAACCATAGTTTATTTTATTTGTAACGCAGCAAACATCCCATTTTTTTGTCATTTGATTCGGTATACAATTAGTCATTTTTGGTATACAATTACCCATTCGGTATACAAATGTATAAAATGTATTTGTGTTTACATAAAGCGAGAGAAACGTGTATATACAAATAAACATACATATATTTTCATCCTATACACTTATAGTTATACAAATACAAATTTTATTATACAAATTACAATGTATAAATGAATTTATACAAAACTAAATAATTTGTATAAAATTGGATGTATCTAGCGAATTATACAAATCAAAAGCTCCATAGCAAATATTTAATTTGATATGGAGCGCAATTATGCAAACTATAGCTATAACATACAAATATAATTTTATGTTTGTTGTATGTGAAAGTTGCTCATAATAATATGATAACACTATTTATTTAAATATCATTTGTCGTAATGTTTTACTCTCTTTTAATTACTTATTTATTATTTTTCTTCTTCTTTCTTTGTTTTAAATATTCACTATCATAGTTCATATCTAATTACCTATTCAATTGTTACTCTTAATATTCATAACTTTCAAATATTTAATTTAAAACTTTAAGATGTCTTTTGATATTTCTCTACTTTTATCAATACAAATCATCTTTTTTATTTATTTCATGAAAAGAATCTCTACCCAAGGTTTTCCACTTTATTGTACAGTTAAAGTAGCAAAGCGCTTGAATCATTATTAAGGCTTTTGAATTTTGATTGATTATAGAAGGTATCGTCAAGAGCTCAAAAAATTATGTATTAATTATGTGTTTCTTTTACCATTATATTGTTATAATTAAAGTCGTAACACAGATATGAATGTTGTATTTGTTCTTATCTATCTTTTTTTGGCACAATACATAAATTTGTCTTTTAACTTGGCCTCATTTATCCAACTTTGATGTGCATAAGTAGACACTTAAACTTATATAAAGTTGAACAAGTAGACAGATGAGTCCTATATGACATAATACACATAGAACACCGTGTAGGATGCAAATTGCCATGTAGGATGCCACATAGGACGTGTGCGTCTATTTGTTTAACTTTATGCAAGTTTAAGTGTCAACATGTACATACCCAAAGTTGAAATACCTAAATGTGAAATGACTTATATTTATGTATTATGCCTTTTTTTATATTCTCTATCTATTATACTTCTTTAATTTAATCTTCCATGAAATTCTAAATGTTGTAAGTCTCTATTTTTATTTGTGCTGAAATTAGTCATTCATGACTTGTATTTGTTTTTTAATGTACTTTTATAATATTTTTATACTCCCTTCGTCCCATTTTATGTGGCACTTTTCAGATTTCAAGATTCAAACAAGTCTATCTTTGATCGTGAATTTTTTATATATCTTTTAAACATTTTGAATTATCAATTATTGTGACTTATAGTACTTTTTACGTAGTTTACAAATATATAAATTTCATTTCAAAAAAATTGAAGATCCCATGCGCAAATTTTCGGTCAAACTTAAATTATTTGACTCTCGAAAAACGAAAAATGTCACATAAATTGGGACAGAGGGTGTAATACTTTTCTTATCGATGTGGTTTCTGTTAAGTAGCTACTTATATATGTAGTTATTGAGGATAAATCATATCGGTATATATATTGATCATATCTTTAGAGGCTATATATATTATCTTAATTTGTTTTCAATGGGCCATTTAATTATTATGAATTTTATTTAATGAATAAAATATAAATTGGTAAAATTAATATTGTTATAATAAACTCAACTTTATAATAGTTGTATGGAACAAACGTGCAAGGCACCCAGAAACTAGTAATAAGGTCTAAAACAACTGAAGCTTTGTTTGTCATTTAGACTCGGGGGATATTCTATGAGTAAGCTATGGATTTATCTGAGCCCATATATATCAGCATGTATATATATGTTAAAAACTTCACTAAACACATACAGGTAATAGATTTTGAACCCAATAAACGAATCGGAATCAATCTGTTTAACGAACATTTAGATTAGAAAAAATATTTGAAACTTACCCTCAGCCCAAAAACATACATGAACTTGATAATTGTCAAATATGAATATAAATTATGTTGTAATTGTAATACTAATTTGTGTGAGAATATTTAAGATACGCACCTGTTTGAGGTCTAGCAGCTTGTCTCTCTATAGGCCTTATTTCCAAATGAAACTTGATTCGATCCGCAGCAATTGCATCTAGTTTCTTCATAATGTTTTTCATCTTTTTCCCAATCTTGTAACGGAAAGCGGTAGCCTTTAGATGATAACTCCAATAGTTAGTCTGTTTGAGTCTTGCTGTCTCAGTTTTACATTCATCCAAGATGTCATCAGCTTCATATGCAGCAACATTGAGATTCTGCAGCCAGTTTTCAATTGGTTTGTCCTTCAGTTGCTTCTCCTGAGCATCTTCAAGCACAGCTTGGATCATCGTAAACGTTCTTTGAAGCTTTTCGAATTCGTCCTTAAAACCAAGAATCAATCCAACTTCCCCTTGGATGAAAGAAGTCAGACTCTTTAACAGAATTCGAAGGAGAGATTCAGCCATATCTTCAATTCACTATTAGATATTTGGAAGTATTGTGAGTTAGCAAAGAATATGTTACAAACTCAATTGTTAAATGGAAACTGCAAACTGCACCTGCCTATGGGGCCATGTCTCTCAATTATTCAATGGTAACCACCAAATTTACTTACTATACGCAATTAAAATTGTACTGAAATCACCAAACCAATTTGGTGGGCAATAACTAGTACTTAGTACTCCCTCTGCTCCATATTAAAGTGAATTGTTGACTCTTTCATACTTCCTCCGTAAATTATAAGAACTTTGACTAATATTTTACAATGTATGTAAGAAATTGCAATTTAACTTTGAAAATTAGTCAAATTAACTTTCAAAAAGCGCAACATGATAACTAAAAAGAGACGGAGAGAGTAGTTCAAAATAAGTTAATTGTTCAAATTTCAAAAAAAAAATTAATTGAAACTTTTTTTCATATTTACCCTATCGTTTAATGAGGTTCTTAACTATTTTACATTTTTTAGTAGAATAGTTTGAGAATAATCAAAAGGGCAATAGTGAAAAGTAATCTTTAATTTATGTCTTTAAATATTTTTCTTAAAAGGTGTATCAAAACTCAATAATTCACTTAATAAGAAATAGAGACTAGAGAGAGTAAAAGTTTGTTTGACATTGTTGTTGGGATGCCAAAAACATTTATTTTGAGATAAAAGTATTTTTTTTTTAAATTTAAAGTGTTTGGCTAATCGGTAAAATTGTTAATTGGAAGCACTGTTGGTAAAAAAAATTTAAAAATTGCTTCTTAAAAATAGCTTTATTTGACAAATAAATAAATAAGTCATTTTTAATAGTTTGACCACATATTTGAACATTTTCCCTTTATAAAATTAGTTTTATTATGACATAAAAGTTAAGTTATCATTAATTGTCACTGCTACAATCTTGTAATACTAGTGTTGTCTAAAAAATATCTTGTAAAATACTCCTTTTATCTAAAAAAATATTTGTGATGATTGATGAACACTTGCTTCCTGTCTAGCATCTTGTTTCTCAAGGAGCACTTGGATTGTATAAAACACACTTGAATGCCTTTGAAACTCATTTTGAAAATTGAAATGCAATACAAGTTCTCCTTTGAGAAAAGAAGTGAGATTGTCTAGCACAGCTTGAAGGAAAGCTTCTGCCATATAATTTAGTTTTAAATAATATTTATGCCCTCCAATTTTGGGTGTATAAAAGAAAATACAATTAAACAAGTAGACACATGCACCCTATGTGACATAATACACGTTTATGAATTATATGTGGGTGCATTTGAGGGAAACTACTGCACATGGCCATGGGGTCATGTAAAGCTTTCATTGCTGCCCACCACGAAGACTTTTCTTTGTCAAAGTCTTCCACAGAACCATAAAACACAGCTTTCTGCAGTACTGCTAGCTCATTCCGTGTATTTTCTTTCCCTTACCACCTACATTTTTCTTGTGTGGTAGTTGAATATTCATTTCTTTTATTACTTACAGCAACCTAAAATACAAATTCATAGGTGAGTTGTTATCAATTAATCCCATAAATAAAATTGTTAACTGATATATATCTTATTCTTTTGGTTAACGATTTAGTACATTTAACATTCGATAACAAATAAACCAAACCATCAAGTGTGAATATCCAACCGAACCGCTCAATAAACACTCTACCTAAACTACTAGTGTTTTGTTGCATAAAAGTAACAAACCTAAAGTTGTAACTATAATATACTTATACAAAAATAGAAGAAGCAGAAACCGAAAATTATCTTGAAAATTATTTTTTTTCAAGATCAAACTATCTTTGCCATATGTATAGTAAAACCTCATTAAATTAATATAATTGAGACTCTGAAATATTATTATTTTGTAAAGGTATTATTTAATCGATAAAATAATAATAATTAATTTATAGAGTGTTTTGAGACTCAACCTTGTGATACTGGAATAATAAGAGCTTTAAAGATGTATTAACATATCTTATCGTAGGATATTAAAAGGCTATGAAGTGGGACATGAAACTGATCTAGAAAGGATTAATGTTTTGTATGCTATCAATTTTGCAATCCTGACTTGGACGACAAATGTTCAGCAAGAGACAACAACAAATTGTTTTCAACACTGCAAAGTTTGTTAGGAGCATGAAATCTCAGAGAATTTGAATGAACTCACTTGTGAAAACGTCATTGTAACATCCGGCAATTTGAAATAACTATGGAAAAGCTTGAAATTTGGAAATAGTCATTTTTGGAAAAATTTAAAAATCTGGAAATTTGGCTAAGTGTGGAAATCAGTGAGTTTTTGGCCAACTTTGAGCAGTCATAACTTCCAGCTCAGGATGATTTAGGAGTAGTTCCAGTTATGGTTGTGAAGCTTGTGGAATGATCTTTCCAACGCCGCCAAGTTTGCTCGATTCCGAGCTTGTATGAGCGAGTTATGACCATTGAAAAGTTGGGCAGTTGGCAGGGAATCCGTCCGGAAATTTTAAGGGCATTTTGGTCTTTTCCCTAGCCATTTCTTTTGGGGATTATATTGTTGTATAGGGATGATCTTTGGATCATTTTGTCCCATTTTAAAGAGAGAAAGTTAGGGTTCTTGAGAGTGAAGAAGAGAAGAAGAAGAGAAGAAGGAGAAGAAGAAGAGAAGAAGAGGAGATCAACAAGTTTCCGTCGTAGAAATCGTCGGGGGTGATCCCTATCAAGGTATGTGAGCACTTAGTGTGGGTTGATCCTTTCCCCTACACACCCAACTCATTGTTATTGAGAAAAGATTGGGTATGTTGTTGAAGTTGTTGGTTTGATGTTGTTGATGTTGTTAATTGTGTTGTTGAAGTTATTGTTGGTTGTGGGACATGATTGGGTTGTGTATTTGAGTTATAATCTATTGTATGTTGAGGGAATTTATGATCCTTAGTGGTTGGGATTGGAACCCTTGAAGTTAGGGTGGTTTAGAGTTGAAGAAAAGAGGGAGAAAAGTCGAGTTTTCTGGGCAAGGGGTC